TGTCGGCGGTTGTCTGCGGTTGTCTGCGGTGGTCGCCGGTCCGTCCCTCCATTGCGTGCAGAAGTCGTGGCAGGCGAAGCACTTTGTGAACCTCCATGTGCAGAATTCGTGGCAGGCGCAGCAATTTGTGAACCTCCATGCGCAGAATTCGTGGCAGGCGCAGCACTTTGTAAACCTCCATGCTCCGTTGGTCCGTCCCTCCATTGTGATTAGAGTATGCACTTGTTTCTTGACGTGCAGAATTCGTGGCAGGCGAAGCACTTTGTGAACCTCCATGTGCAGATTTCGTGGCAGGCACAGCACTTTGTGAACCTCCATGTGTAGATTTGGTGGCAGGCACAGCACTTTGTGATCCTCCATGTGCAGATTTCGTGGCAGGCACAGCACTTTGTGACCCTCCATGTGCAGAATTCGTGGCAGGCGCAGCACTTTGTGAACCTCCATGTGCAGATTTCGTGGCAGGCGCAGCACTTTGTGAACCTCTATGCTCCGTTAGAGGCTCTGGCTGTTGGGTTGTCTGCGGTTGTCTGCGGTTGTCTGCAGAATTCGTGGCACGCACACGACCTGCTTTCGTCTGCGCGATGAAAAAGAGCTTGGCTATAGAGTTTTACGTCGGCAGCGCGATGGGGTTTTACTTCGGCTAGTTGTGGCTGTACACACATGTCTGCGCAATACCTCGTACATCCGCCGTGCACATTACTCTCCCACACCTCTCTCCCACCCCTCTGTTGTGTAATTCTGATATAATAATTCCTGACAAGGCCATGTTGTAGAAGCTATTGAGACTCTGACTGCTTTGTGCTTTAGAAAAAAGATTCGTAAAGTTTCATATGTGGGGTTATCCGGTCCTTTAATTGAGTTTTCTTCGGCTACTGTATGGGTCACCTCAAACATGGGTGAGTTGAGCTGGCAACAGCCGGGCTGTCAGGGGGAAAGGCACCTGCATGGGAAGGACAACAGGACAACCTCGGAATAGCTCTCCAAGCAACGAGAACTCAGAGTCAGCCAATGTGCCTGTAGGTGCCTTGATTGAGCTTCAAGAGGCAAGGACTTGAAAGGTTTGAGATGCCAAAAACGAGGAAGAACACGTGGGAAACCGTGAAGTCATTGAAATGCCATGGCCACTTGACGGTTTAAGGCCGCTAAAGCAATTAGTTTAATTATGTGCCATATGCCATATTGTAACAACTGCAAGCCAACCAGCTTCTAGCTCGCCTCGTCCTTCCCAGTGGCAGGATACCTGGCTGCTGCTGCTAGCAAAGCACCCGAGCTGCCCAATAAGGCCAGGGTTTTGGCCTCAGAGTCAAGCAATTATATGGTGCTTGAGCCGCCTGTTGTCGACCTACCTGATTCCTTGACATTAGCCACTAAGCTTTGTGGCAAGGAGCATCAGCTTTCAAGTACTTGTGCACCGTGTTTGACCTTAGTCATTGAGCAGCCCAAATGAAACGAATTGGCACATATCGATATCTTTCGATGTCGACACTTTGCAATAGCTGTGCCTATACCCGCTTGCCTCGAATGCAGCCTAGCAGCAGCTGCTCGGGGATTATTAGCAAGGTGCCCCAAGCTATCTTTGGCTGCCTCTCTGCAAGCATCAGCAAGTCTTGCACCGCAGTGTTCCTTGCGCTTAGAAGGTCTTGGACACCAAAACGACGCTGGGCTGAGGCTCTGCATTGTCGAGCTGGAATATGTATTGATGATTGCTTAAAACATATTTAAAAAAATTAATGAGTCGAGAAATCAATCAAGAAAACATAAGAAAACTATGCTTCGCCAGGGCTCCACGATGTGTTGCACAGGGCAACTGCAATGGATGCCAAAGCAATCACCTAACCACTCACATGCAACAATAGCAAAGCCAAGAACTTCTTGACACAAAGTTTGCCAGCTGCACAAGCAGGCTTTAGGTTTGGTGATGGTTCACACGTGCCACAATCAATTCACAGCTGGAGGCGCAAGTTGTTGCTTGGATGTTGCTTGCAGCACAGTAGACTCAGCCTGCTGCAGCAGAAATGCTGCCCAATCCTGACAAATCCAGCGTTAAACAATGTTAAACCCCTACTTGAGGCTAAAGAACAACAGCCCCCTCAACAGAAAGCTAAAAAAGTGTGGGCTTCGTGAATGCCTGAAGGCATGCGAATAGTTCATGGGCACGCGCCACACACACACACATGTGATCGCATTTGTACACCATCGTGCACCTGAAGCACATCTACAGGTCATGCGACACATATCTAGCATTATCTAGCTCTCCGTAGCTATATCCCTCCCCCTCTCCGTGAAGAAATGGATTTTCTTGGCCCCAGGGCTGCCATGGGCCTTCAAGTCACACAATCTGGACTCGTGGTATCCTTGCGCTGCGTCTTGAAGCTTTCCTCATGGACACCACAATGGACGCAACATGCATTGCTATGCTAGTCACTTTTGGTCTATCGCATTTATATAGTCAGAATCCATATGCCATATGGAAGTGCTTGCACTTATGCGTGCCTTCCAAGAATCTTCTTAGCGTCTGAGCACCAAAAAACTGCCTCAATCGGGAGCAGTTCTTAAATCAATTCAAGCTGACGTGTGGCCCTTTCCAATGAACACTCCAAGCTGAGACACACCGTCGGTTCTGGATCTGCCAAGAATTCCTTGCTCGTAAGCCAGGCCGGGTCTGTTTCTGCGAAAGCGCGCAGGGCCGCATCTGCTTCTTGGCGAGCTGCCTTAGTTCTTTGCGAAGTCCAAACGGAAAGAGCAACCAAATCCCTGTGGAAGTGTAGCAGCAGCCAAATCACACTCCCACAATGCATTTTGTCAATTTTGTCCAACTACTTTCGGATACTTTCGGTGACTCTCAACACTGCATGCTCTCAAACACAGCTGCAATAGACTGACACCGTTATATAAACAACAGTATGTCACGGGCTACCCGGCTACCACACAGGACAAACAGCTCCAACTGCTGCAAAAGCGTGCAACGCTGCATGGCAGATGCATAATGGATCCCCATCCAAGAAACTCCAGAGATGGACTGGTGCAGCTCTAAGATCTTCGCACGCACAGCAGACGAGGATGCTTGGCATGATGCATATGGCCCGTGTGCCATGCGCAAGCAAGAAGTAGTGTGTGGTCAGTCTCGCTAGTAACAGTGGGACTTGGGTGCAGAAAAGTCACCCTGGTGGAGAGCCAAACCTTCACAACAAAAAGCCCTGAACAAAGTTATATAAATCATGTTAAAACAACAAGGGGCACACGTGATACAGGTGTCAACTTGTGCAGGCCTTTTTGAATTGCACAACCAGCTTCAAGCTGTCAAATGCAATTTCATGATGTGCATCGAAGGTCAGCTTGAGATGTGAAAAATTGTCAGCCAGGCTGAAAACTAAAAAGGTTCAAGCTGACATGTGGCATGAAGGGGCATGAAATGAAAGGACGAAGGATCAGACTGCCCTTGTTACTACCGTGAGGCCGAGAGCCCATCTAATTTGGTTCATGGGCCCGTGATGCACCGAACGCCAGCATGGGGCACAACATGGCGCAACCTTGCAAAGCCTCTGTGCAAGTCAATGCCTCACAGGCCAACTTGTCATAATAGGTGACCCAGGCAATGGAGTCGACGTTGCCCGGTCCAGCACCTGCAAGGTGCAAGTGCTTGTGGGTCAATAAAGACCACCGGGCTGGGCGGGCTGGGCTAGGTGAGAACTCTCAACTTCCTTGTTTCTAATGGCAAACATTGCTCCTAGTAGCGCTCTTGCTCCCAGTAGCGTCATTTTTTCTGTTTCTAATCGCTTTTGTCTTTAAATTGCTAGCGGCCTGCAACCTAATTAGTAGCGGCGATGGCTGGAGTTGCTGAAGATTTCACAACACATGTTTCAAGTGCTCTCCCTGCCTTTTCCCTTACCTGGCATGCAGCTCCGCACTTAAGGGCAACGGGCACATACATGCGGGTCTCTTGCTGGGCTCAGCAACTAGGCCAAAAATGCCAAAGGGAACATAGTATTATATAAATAACTGATCGTAATCGAACATGTCAGGTTGTATTTTGTATATATATATATAGTACTTGGCATTCATCTCTCCAATCGTGTCAGGGCAAACGATCCTCGGGCTTCAGGATTCTGATGCCTCGGTTCCATTGCTCTGAAATATATAATGTCCTCGTGGCCCCCAACTTCTGATGAAAAAAACATAACCCACTTATATAAACAAATGCAACAAAATTGATTATATAGACAAATCAAAGTGTTGGACTTGTTGGACAACCTTAGGCGCAAACTTTTGACATTTCCATAGGCCTTGAAAACGAACTGGAGCTCCTGATAAGCCAGCAACAACTACGGTCAAACAACGAAGACACACACACAGAGATATTATATTATATTCCATCTTTCCTCCTCGGTGATGTCGCTTGGCAAACCTAAGCCATTGAAAAATGGCTGATGCACAGGCAAATTGACATACTGGGAACATAGCAAACACAATTACTTTCAAGTACCCTTCTGACTCCTCTCTTGTCTGCGTTGCTTTGACGCTTGTCTTGTGTCTTGGAGAGACGCTTCCCACAAAAATCTGGAACTCTGGAGCGCCCGCCATAGCACCTGTCCAGGCACCGTTATTTCAGCCAGCGAGGCTGCACAAATAAGGGCAAACATGACGCTGAGCGACGACTTGGTGTGTTGCAAAGCCTTCCAGAGTCTCAGGCAGCAACTGGAGCTACGAAGCTCAAACACTTGCGAATGCCTTCCTTGTTCAGCTGTCACGTCTCTACAATACAATAGGCTCTGATACTGAAGACCCTACTGTAATGCTGCCTGCCGCGATCTGTATCTGCAAACAGGTGCACAAGTTGCATACTGTAAATAGATTTTAGTGGATGCGCCTCGTGCAAATACAAAGGCTATCATTTGGGTCACGAGTCTGTCCATGCAACTTTGTTCTTAGGTGTGGTGCAATCTTGGCCAATCTTGTAAAATCTGTCAGCCATCAAGCCAGAAGTACATTTGGCAAGTGCTCTCTCTCTCTCTCTATCGCTCTGTGCTTCTCTCTGTGGGCCTGACTCTCATGTCCAAGGAAGGGCGGTCGCTATCCCTGACTGGATTCTCCACTTTAGGGGTCAAACCCGATTTAATCATGTCAACCTAGCACAGTGAACTAACTTAGCTGTATCCGACAAATGCCCAAAGGTGATCCCGTAGGTTGTAGGTGACGAGGGGCCAGTTCTCACTTTTGCGACCTGCCACCACGGCTTGATTCTTGTTGATCAATGCCTTGGGCATCTTTTGGCAAAGAATTAGGCTCATGCCTGTGCCATATTTACCAGGCTCGTATGGAGCTCCTGAACTTGGCTAAAACGATGAATCACGAGACTCAATTGAGCCCTGTGATGTCTGCAAGGAGCTCACGGCAGTGTTTCAAGGACGGCTGGAATATAGGTACATTGTTACATTATTTTGAACAATCGCAGCCCACTGCAGACTTGAAATTCTGAAAACTGGTGCCTGGGTCTTCCCTGGCAGAAATACTATGGGAAGCTCTGATACGACCAGAGCTGCACGGATGTGGTTCTTCTGTTGAGGAGGTTGTCGAATCTGTTCCGTTTCTCGCGGGCACCCATCACACACATGGAAGCTGTGCCGCCTTCCTCACTCCAGTGGGAAGGTGTCTGCTCTGCGGCCGCCTTGGAATGACTACAAATGGCCTGCATATGGACTAGTACCGTACTCCTTCCCAGTCCCGCACAACCAAGCCAAAAGCAAACCTCCCGCTATATTCCCGGACTGACTTGCATCATCTGATCCTTGCCAAGAAGCAAGACCGAATAAAGTTTCCTTTCAAAGGACCGGCTTTCACCTAGAGCCCGTACTGCGAGGGCAATGAGAGCTCTGTAGAAGTTTCATCACGGATCTTGCTGCACACGAGCTTTTAACGGAAAACTGTGCACAGGAATGTGCCGTACGAATATGCATGGTATTGATTTATTGTGTTTACTACTTGAATAATTTACTTAATTTTAGTAATTTAATAAAGTTGTTGACCTCCATTCTCTTTGTTTTCGGCAAATCACAGTTGTACACTCTGAACCCCCGCCTCACAAGTAAGAGCATTTCAATCTCTGTCAACAGGTATATAATGGTGTATATATATATATATGTATGTATAACCTCCCGAACCTCTTTTGCAAAACAACATCCAAAAATCGTTCATGTTCTCTTTCCAGTGGGGACTCCCAGACTCTTTCGCCCCAAACTTGATGATGGAGTTCTTGCAAGTTTTCTTTGCTCCGATTTGGCTGTAGGGGTCCCTACGACGAGCTGGATCGAACAATGACCGTGGAACCTGGCCCTGATTACAACGTTTCGCCGCTTGGAACCCTAGAACTCTGGAACCAAGCCTGGAACCAAGTCCCTGGTCCCACCACGTTGCATGTCTAGCCCTACCTGTTCTGCATTCGGGATTCAAAGCGGCGCAAGGAAACCTGCCTCTGGAGCTTTCTGATCTCCAAAGGTTATCTACGGTCTACATCAAAGGCGGATTCGGAAACGTGAGCCGCGGGTTCGGAAACTAGGGAGGCCACGGATTCGGAAACTGGGGACGACTCGGATTCGGAAACTGGGAAGAGCGCGGATTGGAAAACTAGGATATGGAAACGAGGAGACGAGAACGGCTCGACTCAGAAAGTCCCCCGCTTAAGATAGTTCACATGTCATGGTCTTACACAATGTCTTCACACAACATTCACGCCAATAGCATTGCTCAAGAATGTGCGTGTCACAAAAGCCCCTTGCTTCACTTAATTACACTCGCTCTTGTGGGACCAATTGGACTGCAACCCGACATCCAGCGACACTATAGTTTGCATTTTTCAAGGATCTGACCACCCCACCCGTTCCCCATTGTTTGCAACTTCAAAGGAACATCAACACCACCCCATCCCACCCCAACCCCACCCGTGCCCACTTGCAACTTCAACGGAACGTCAACATCACCCCCACCCTACCCACCCTGCAGTGTCTGAATCGGGTGAGTTTCTGAGTCAGGACACCTTGTAGTTTCTGAATCGGCTACTCTCTAGTTTCTGAATCGGGACACCGTGTGGTTTCTGAATCGGCCGTTTTCTGAATCGGGCCTCTGGCCTAGTTTCTGAATGGCTTTATTCAAAGTTATCCAAAGTTTCTGAATCGTCTTCTGTTCCTACGGTCTAGGTAGAGAGATGGAGGAATCAAAAGAAATCGCAACTCACTCACGAAGCAACTGGCCTCCTTTGGCACTGGGTTCAGGTTCATCACGCGCTCTTTGATCTGTCTTTTGAGGAAGTCTCGGTTGGGATCTCGAACCCGAGCCTCCAGCCTTAGTCTCACCACTTGACTGAACACACAAACCTCTTTGAAGAGCACCGCGAATCAGTGAAGGGCTTGAAACTAGGCCGCGTCAACGACTGCCTACGAGTGTCTACGAACCTATCTTGTCTTGATTTCACTCTTTGTGTTTGATTCCCGAATATATATATATGTATATTATATATATATAGATCAAATATAGATATATATATATATAGGGTATCTTCGACGATATATCATATCGCTCGGCCACAAAATGGACATCACTTCATCAACCCTCTAGCTTCGTGCCGCGTTCGCAACAACGACCACATACACAAGCTGCACAAGCTCTAACCAGGCCCCCTGCAACCATCTGATTTCAGCCTCCACATCACCTGCGCATCAAAGGAAACCATGCACATGGACATGTGCACAAATGCCGTTTTCAGAACCTACTCAGCAAACAACAAGTGCACGCTCATGAACCAATCTACTGTATTTCAGTCCACGGCTGTTTCTTGCCCAAGGCTTGCCCAACAATGCAAAAGCAATTTTTTTGAGAGCGGGTGTGCTTGGGAGAGCACACGCTAGACCAAAACCCATCAAAAACACTAGTAATACAGTTTAATACATGCTGAGACCTAGTCGAAGCGCATATATGTTTTACAATATCTTCCCCTGCTCAATCTCTATGCGCAATGTCAATGTGTAACACCAATGATAAGCGTTATCCGTTTCACGCTTCTTTGTTCAACATCAATAACTGCCTCGTCACTTGCATTCGTGTTTGCTCATATTTGTTCTCAATGTCGGTCAAAGCTCTCTCTCAGCAGCGTCTGGCTACAACGCAGCCGTCCCACAGGGACACGCTGAGGAGGGACGATGCCGCTGCTGGACCCGCAGTTGGGCAGGGTGCAGCACAGAAAAGAACAGGGTTGGTATAGAGTACAAAATGCTGAACATCTGCCTCAGGCAGGGATATCAACAAACATAGGAAGTGCTAATCTTCTGCCACAGTGGGCAGGGATGAGGAGGCATAGGTGGTCCAAACAGGTTGGAGACGATTCCAATTGGTTCTGCATTGAGCGATGTCTTTCCAGGGTGCAGCCCAGCCCAAAATTTGGTCGGAGCTGTTTGGCTTTGAATCTTGAGAGGATTGATATCAAATATGCAGACTTCGGCTTCAACACTCTCCCCTCAGCAACGTCGCCTTGATCCCAAAGGACCCTTCTCTTGTTCCAAAAGAATTCACATGCTATGATTGATTCTCTCTGTTCTTCCATCTATGCTTTAATTTCTGCAATGTCTTTTTTCATAGGCACAAGCAATCCAAATAACACTTATTCAATTGCGTATGAATTTGGCTTTGGCTGGCATCTTGTCCAAACCAAGAGAGACAAGAACCATGATAAGGCAACCAACAAGATATGCATATATATACTGTATATATATATATCTCACGTTTTGCTTTGACATAGTCATAGAAATCAATCAAACTTCTTTTGCCTAGTCTAGCTCCATACCTTCTGAGAAAGAGCTAAGCCAAACAAAACAACTTGACCAAGAAAAACGCCTTGTAAAGATCGAAGAAGTCTTCCTTGTTGGTGCTCAATGTTACGGCACGTTTGAATTTGTAGAACAACTTAAGCAAAACAAATACAACTACTGGAGCAATAGAAACACCTATTGAGACAGGACACCAGAAGAAATAAGAACTTGTTGCCTGGATAGAAGTTACAACTTGGTCTAGCTCATTAGCTTCTTCAGGATTTATTGCATTCCTTTGTTTGAATCTTAGTGCTCTTAGCAAAATAACCCTTGTGAAGGTTGAAGCAGCTTCCTTTTGGTGCTCAATCTTTAACGCATTTGAGCATCTAGAAAAGCAAAACATACACAACCCTACTGAAGCAATTGAAACGCCTTTTGAGACTGCGCTATTGTGTCTCTTCAATTGTTCAAACCAGGCCGACAAAGGTTTGGAGGCAAAAGAAAAAGAAACAAACACCAAATACACAAAATAGCAAAACTACATACCAAAAAAAACAAAGTGTTTAAATGTTCTATTTTTTTGGTGTTTTTGTTTGGTACTTCCCTCTAAGCCTTGGTCGGCCTAGTCTGAACAACTGAAGCAAAACAATAGCTCAAAACTGACAGTATATAGGTGTTTGCGAGGTTTCAGCCAGAAACCACGGTGTTGTTTGATCACTTTTTGCACAAAGTCATCTCCCAGCACCACCCATTCTGAACTGTTTCCTTGGGGGGAGTTGTGGGCAAATGCAGAAAAAACAAACCCTTCACAGGAGCTTCCACGAGCTTTTGCAGCAGAAAACGGTGGCTACGCGGTGTTTGGGTGCTTTAGTGGCACCTGCACGAACGCTTTTGCGTGAAATTGGTCAACGCAGTTTCGTGGTGCAATAAGAAATGATTATTGCGCGATTTGCTCTTGTGGTTGGAATCTTATTGCAGCATTGTTGGGTGTTTGCACAAGTTGCTTTCGCAACCTTTGCAGGATAAGATGGACCCAATACTAATACCAACATATACTATGTACAAATGCTTATTACGCGGCACATTGGTCGGTTCCACCTTTGTATAGGTTCCTTCAATTGAACAAACAAGTTGCTCATATGGACTTGGTACATGCGCACTGGCTGGCTGGCCTTTCAGTTTGTTGTACATCTGCTGGCATCCCACCTCACAGTTTACTCTTGCAACTTGCTGCCGTCTGACATGCTTTTATATACATTGATCGAGACAACGGTCCTTGTCTTTGGAATCGAGGTCAGCCAAGTCGACAGGTTCACCAAAGCTATAGTAGAAGCCTGGCTCTGCAAGTCTCGCTGCAACACGCATTACAAGCAAAGAATCAGGGACAGCCAGCGAATGACAGCCACCGCTGTCCGTGTACCGCCAGTGTATGTAAGCATATACATGTTATTTACATCTCGAGAGCTATCAAAATCTATGGAATGCCAAAACAACATAAAACAACCTAATTACCTATGAATCCTCGAAAAAAAAAAACACATCTCAACTTCAAGCCCTTCCCGTCATACATTATGATTCCTAAATATCTCAAAGCAGCAAGCAAACTCAATCAAAGAACTGCGCCAGCGAAACGGTCTCCAAAACCTGCCGCTGTTTGAGTGGCCTTCAGGTTTGGGCAGCATGTCACTTAAATAATCACTGCATGTGGCATATAATGGGGTGAGCTGACAATCAAATCTGTCTGTGGACTTGAGAAATGAAAGGCAAGCCTCCTACAAATGTTCAAATGTCTATAGTTCTTGGATGTCAGCTCCTCTTCCCTCTTCATAGTGATCTGTTTGCCGGAACACCATGCTCAAATCTCTGGCCCGGGCAGGGGGCAGCCGTGGCGGTGACGGGTTGAAGCGTGGTGGCTCCCGAAGGGATTCAGAGACTACAGACATGCCTCAGCTGTAGGTCACAGTCGTCACAGCTTGCGACTCACCTATCATGCTTCATAGCACTTCACACCATGCTTGATGAAGCTCGTTTCCCCTGGCGGTCAACTATCCCTCACTGCCGCTGCACCTTGTCCTTCCATCATATCTGCAAACCCTTTCCGATCTTGCTCTGAGACCTGGCACATTCCCATGAGTATAACTCTTTTTTGGTAATAGTTTTAATAGTTTTGAGATGTTTTGAGTGAGCTCGGCCAAGTGTGCCTCTTTCCCCTCGACAATTCGAACCTAGGTTTCTCCAAACATGGGGCATTTCTCACACTTATGGAAAACAGTCGGCAATAGTGTCTGCTATCAAAGGCTATCACTTGCTGAAAATACACAACCAAATAGTCAAACAAACCTGGGACATCTATATACCAATGTATAGGTGCGTTGTATAATATGTTAGAACATGTTAAAACATGCCTGCTCATCTCGTGCAAGGCTTTACATTACATTACATCTTGAACTGGATTGCTACTGTCGACTGGGATGCCGGTGCCAATGCAAAGTCTTAGTGATGGACGTTGTCAGCGCTGCCGATGCTTCCGAAAGGAACCACTATAGCATTAAACCTAGCTGCCAATCGCCTTGCTGAGGAGTGAGGAAACAAATCAAACTTCTGCGGCCCAACTATGCATTCCAACATTGCATTTGAATCTCTGATCTTGCCTCTTCCAACTACAAAGAACACATGCCCCAAGTTCCCTGCACAAAGTCCGTCTGAGATGGCCAAAAGAGCTGGTACCTGTCCACGGAGTGGTCAATCACTTCAGGAGTCGAGAAGCGGCATCAATTGAGTCCTTCGGGCACACTATACGAGCACAGAAAATATACACTAACTGATAACTATCATTACTTGAGAGAGGAGGGGGGTGAACGAAAGGTAGCAGGGAATCAGGCGTAATCCGGGAGGAGGTGAGAGGCCCCCCACTTGTTTGAAGAGAAGTGAGTGAGCGTGATGAAAGAAAAACTAATGCACAAACGCTTGACAAAACCTCCAGAAGCTGTAGCGGTCTAGCGGTTTCAATACAGGTTGACGTGCCTTCAAAAGGAGTCACATATTTCTCAAATGCAACTTCGGATTTACATAGTGACGTGCGGCGACCCTGTAAATTGCGTGGCCGCAGGCCATGCTTGCAAACAGGACGTGCTCAAAAACACTGGTACTTACGAGGTTTCGTTGCCGTCGATCCACAGCCGCGGCAAGGTCTAAGGCCACGCTTGAAGACAGGAGGAGCTGAAAACACTGGTATTTACGGTATTTTGTAGCCGTCGATCCAAAGGCGCACCACGGTTGAGCGCTGGAAAAGCGCAGAAAACCGTGTAAATACCGGCGTTTTCTGCCGGGAAGGTGCACAAAACCCTGTAAATACCATAGTTTTGTGCAATTTTGAAGCCTCCAAAAGCCTCAAAAACCCTTTCTGACAAAATCTTTCCTGGTTTTTGGTCTTTTTTCGGTCATTTTTCTAACCGAGACGCATAAAAAACCATCGGTTTTTGCGGTGTTTTTTGCCGGACAGCCACAAAAAACGCTGTAAATTCCATGATTTTTTGTCACTGCTGAGGACTGGAAGAGCTGAAAACACTGTAAACAGTGTTTTCGAACCGTTGACCCCGAGGCGCGCTAGGGTGGAGTTGAAAGGGAGAGGGGGGGGTTCACCCCCCCCCCGGCCAGCAAACGAAGATGTCGGGGACCATTTCTCCGAGAGATGGGCTGCAGCTCTGGGTTAATACATTTTTGCTAAAGCAAAAGGAAAACTCAGGTAGCGTAACCGCTACCTTTCGTGATATATCATTATAGTGTACTTTTACTGCATGTAATCTTCGTCCGGAAAGTCCGAGACCAACCTCAAAGCGCATGGCGACAAGCTATGACAAGCTTGCCATTGCCGGTTTCAATTATTCTCAGGCAAGCGGCTTCTCAGTCGGCCCATGACAGGCTTCTCGAGCACCGCCAGGAAAAAGAAGGATAGCCTGCAAGACGCGTACATTTTCTTTTGCATCAAGGGCGATCGCGCAAGCACAGTACATCGTCTTGAATTCAGTCCATTGACCTTTGGCATTGTCTTAGATCCACGACTTGGACAAAAGCGGGCAAACGCTCAACATATTTGCAGTGACGATATGTTTTCCATGCCGCACTTCGATTCGCTGTAAAGTCAGTCATTCTCTACCGTCACATCCTTTGGATAGGACCTGAGTCAAGCATTCACAGCTGCATTCCACGGCCATTCATTGCGATGTCTTATTTTTTGAGATGCCTTAGCAGCTGGTCCGTATAGGCGACATTAAGCGACTAAAGAACACTCGTGAAGTCCTTTCCTTTCCCCTTGTTTACTGTAGTTAGAGATGCCTTGGTTGATCCTACAGTACAGGCTGGGGGCAGGACGAGTCTGAAAGCACACCACCTTGGTTACTGGCACATGGGCCATGGGTAGTTGCATGATTCATATTGGAAATTTGAAATGTGTGAAAAAGGGTTCAGTAGTCTCGTGTGCCTTTGGGGGTGACGATGCTGCTGCTGCAAATGATGGTGGCGATGATGATCGGCATTGTTGCAACCCAGCGACACATGCCGCAAACAGGAATGCTACTTGGCCCACCATCGCAGCCGGTGCCCTGCTTGGGGTCCTGGTTCAATTGTGGGGCCACAAGTAAGTGCAAATGTGTGTCAAACAAAATATATAGCTTCCTCCAAAACAATCCAGGGAAAATGACTTAAACAGCTGTCTTACAATACCGTGTCAAGTTAGTCACTGACTGTAATGCATTTCATCTATATGGGTCATATATAAATATGTAGATATATGCAGTGTACAGCGAGCAGGACCAAACGGTTAAACATTGTACTCAAACCACTTTTGTCTGAGAAGTTGGAAAAAAGATACACTTTGGTGAGGTCCGAGTCAAAGCCACAATAGCCAGCATCCCAGTCGGAATCGTCAGCGCTGTGACGCCTTGGTCACAAGACGACCCAACCCCTGTCTTGGACACTGGTGACAGGAATGCGCAATTGCAAACCATTGTCGCATCCGAGCTGCTGTAAACGCACAAAGCCTTTCTCGCCCCATTCTCGTCCTGGGCTACCACACGGCACCCACGTCTTCTAATAGTATGGGGCTCGGATTTATAATGTGGGATATCTGTGGATATTTGTTCTGTTTTGGGTATTGGTTTGTTTTTTTGTTGAGTTTGCAATAGTTACCTTACTTATTCTAACAGTTGTTCTTTGTTTTCGTGCGTGCCTCTTTGCACTGTTTTGTGAGTGCACGCTGGCGAGCGGATAAGAATAACTACATACATAGGTCGGTGGATAGATACGTAGACAAATAGATAGAGAGATAGATAGATAGATAGATAGATAGGTAGGTAGATAGATAGATAAATAGATACGTAGATGGATAGATGTCGATAAATAGATGGATGGATATATAGAAAAGAACAAAATCGAACAGAACAGATTTCCAAAAGTTGACACAAATGGAACAGAATAGATCACAGCAGAATAGATAAATAGAAAGATCATGAAAGATGGATGGATGGATGGATGGATGGATGGATGGATTGTACAGACAAACAGAAAGGCAGGCAGGCAGGCAGGCAGGCAAAGAAACAAACAAACAAACAAACGGAGAGACATACAAACAAACAAACAAACAGGGAGATGGATAGTATAGTATGGTATGGTATAGTCTCTTTAATTGAATATGTATCTATTCTGTTTTGGTCTATGCTATTCTTGTCAATTCTATCTATTTATTATCTATCTATCGGCCTTTCTCTCTCTCTCTCTCTGCAGCGTCTGGCTACAACGCAGCCGTCCCACAGGGACACGCTGCGGCCTATCAGTCTATCTATCCCTCTATAGTCTATCGAAAGCAAAACAAAAAGATCACAAAATAAAAGGCCCTCCAATAGTCTGCTAGGCTGATGTGCTCTGATTTAAGCAAGGACTCCCCATGAGTTCCGTATCAGCCAATAATCCAAACCTCAGCTGTCCAAATCTGCCACTGACTGCCACTGTCAGTTGAAGCAGAATGCTGGTGTACGCACGGTGTACACCTGTATGCAAAAATCCAATGTTTTGGATTGTTTTGGTGTGTTGGTGTCGTATGGTGTCGCCTTTTGAGGCATTGACCTGACTTGGGATCATGACCATAGCCCACGGCCAGGACAGCCTTAAACGATGAAGAGAAAACTGATTGTCAGAGAACTTGCCAAAGTGCGAGAGGTTCAAAATGGTCAAACATCGTCAAACCCAAGACCTTCTTCGAAGTGCTGTTGCTCACATACCTCGCACAGCTCAATAGATCTCCAAGTTCAGGGCATGGTTCACCTAGGTGCCCCCAAATGCAGCAGCTGAACAAGGTAAGGTAAAGAAATGGATGCCTACGACGACCTACGCACTTTCAGTTGTATCATGTTGTATCAACATACATAATTTCAACATCTAGCAAAATCCAGTGCCGGCCAAAAGCTATGCTGTTTCTCTTGCAGTCATTGAAGATTCCACCTGCCACGTCCAGCTGAAGGCCCAGCCAAGCAGGTATTTGCAGGAATGGAATGCGATGAACAAAACTGCACAAAGTGTGACAACAAAGTATGACAATCAACCAAGCACAGCAAGGACTCTTTCCCGGCCACTGACAGCGCCAACAAACAAACCCTTCAAAGTGGCCTTGGATTGACTATGGGTCCAATAAGAAAACAGCTATGAGTCCACGGATTGACTTGGACTGATGAGTCCTATGGACTGTCTATGGGTGTCGGTAGACAAGCGCCCCATGTGTCCACATCCCCAAACAAGCCCAGCACCTCCGTACCTTGGCTCACGTGGGCACACGTTCCTAAATGTCACTCACTTGATTCTTTACTTGGTAGAGGTCCCAGTTATTGTCATGTCAGTTCTGGAAATTTGCTGTTTGTTCCTTTCTGGCTACTTCAATGGCAAAGCATGAGTTCAGTATGATCCCTAACATCTGCATCTACGTCGCAAAAATAAGCATTCATCATCCTACAGTAACAGTATAGCAAATGCTGCGCTAAACCTGCCGCAAATCATTCGAACATATTCAAGCAGGGAAGGCGCATATTCCATTCACTTGCATCAACGGAGACAGAGACCGGCCCAGCGTTTGCCTTGGCATGTTTGGCCGACGTTTTCATTGTTCTGAAATGAACCTGAACCATATTGGAATATCGCTATCACAACTCGTTGCATATAATCTAGGTGGTATAACGCACCGTATACGGTATGAGTATGAGAGTCTTAACCTTCTTCCAAACCATGTCGTGTGAAGCTCTCATTCTCGCAGCTAGTCAGCTGGGTGGCAAGAGCATCCATCAGGGGCTTCAGCTTGTTGCTTTCTAAGCGCACATAGCCCAAGAGCTGAAGATAAGGAACTGCCCTTGGGAAGTTGGCAACTTGCATTGTCAATGAACAGTTGCAGGCGAAATGCGGTGATATGAGGTATCCTATGTACTCATGGCAAGCAATTCGTCATGTTGGCAAGTGTGTGTGTTTTCCATTTATGTCACGTTCAACTGATAAACTGTCTCAACCTAGCTTCTTTATAGTACAGCGCTGACACTATCATAGATTCATCAAATGAGCAAGCAGGAGCAAGGGTGCAAGTGGCACTTGTTGCTCTCCGTTGGCAACCTTCATTTCAAGTAGTTGGCAGTGACTAATGACCAATGCCAGCCATTGACTGCTGGCAATAGCAACTTGCACCACCATCCCGCCAAAAGCTAGCATAAATGGGCATGCATGAACGCACTTGTGCTTCTGTTGGACATCGCCTTAATTGCACTGAGGCTTTTGTTCGCACCTCACTGCTTTTGTGGCGCAGTATAGTGCGGGCGGGCTTCTTCTTCGAAGAAGCTTGGCAATGATCGTCTCCTTGCTGAAGAAATGAAGAACTGTGAGCTGTAAAAATTGGCGCTGTGCCGCAATTGAATCCACAACAAAGCACTGTTTCATGCCAGGCTTCGGTTGATATTTCCACCATAATGTTCAGCATCGTGCAGGCCATGCCTTACCACCCCAGTCAATCACAACATGGTATTCTTGCATTGAATTGTCAATTGTCAAGCACATTAATGAAATAGCTGTTCCTGCTTCACACTACCCTCATCAGAATCTGCGAACAAGTGACTTGGATACATACTCGAAGGCAAGCTCTGAAGTTGCTCCCTCACAGCTGTGTGCTTATGAAAAACTACAAGGTTGCTGAGGCTTCGATTGCATAGGTGCTTATAAGATCCAAACGTGCAATCATCCCAACAAAGCAATGTCTAAAAGTGCAGAGTAACTTTATGGTATATATATACAGTATTTACTATATAATGTGACCCCGCCTGACAGCCACCATCTCCACCACAGTGCTCAGGATTGGGGGTGCAATCCTTAGATTTAGGGAATGTGTGTGCTGTGTAGTCTAGGAGCATTTGCCATTGCCTAAAATTAGAAGTTGTATAATATATGAAGTATGGCAAAACTTACTGTGTCGTGTGCGGCGGCATTAATTTGGTCCTAAACTCAAATACACTAGACACTATCTATTACAGTATGTGGGGGCCGGGGGCCCTATTTCGTTTAGACTACTTAAGGAGGAGGTCATGTCACAGTATCTCGTTCAGACTACTTTAGTAGCAACTCACACTAATTATCTCGTTCAGACTACTTTAGTGTCATCAAACAAAACTATATATCTCGCTTATGTGGGGGCCCTATCTCGTTCACAAGCGAATACTGATGATAGACAAGCAAATAGAGCATGCCGTAGACTACTTTAGTACAGTAAAGCGGTAATAGAAGTGGTTGCTCATGCGTGGTTGTTGCATCCTCAAATTTGTGAGCCCCCTATCATCGTTGTCCAATGCTTTGGAACCTTGTTAATGGGTATCGTGTGTCCTTTTTTTGCAGGGTTTGGAGTGTGCCCGCATATGATCGTCTTGTGCAACAGTAATCTTCGCACGTTTTGAAGGCACTTCATATAACAATTTAGTCGATCGTTCACTGTACCCCGTATTCGTTTTGCCTGGGTCAGAACATGCTGCACATTTGCAAAGCCAAAGATACCACCAGCTGTTTGAAGGACACATTTCTTGGGACCTGGCATAGGTAGATCTGCATGGATCGAATCCGTAGTCCAAATGTCAATCTAATCTACCTTTAACATGTTTTTGCGGATGAAGCATTACGTGGGCAAGTGGTCCGGCCTTGTGCGAATGCTGCTTCTGCTGCTTCCTGACGACAGGGAACCCGACACCAAAAAACGCGAGCACTTTCCATCAACCTCTTCACTTTTCACTTCCCTCAATGAACTCTTTAGACTTTCCTTTCACTTCCTTCTGTCAAAAAGAGCCGCACATGGCGATCTCGGCATGGATCTCCAAAGCACCCGCTGCAGCTACAGCCCAACATGAGCCACAAGAACCCTGCTGTTTCACGTAGTTGGTGCTGACCTCGCTGAGACAGGGAGCCAAAGATTTGACACCATGTCATCGCATGGGGGGCATGTTTCCAGCGGGAAGAATGTCAGTATACATCTGATCAGAAAGCCGCTCTGGGGCGAGCTGTTGAAGGAAAGCTTTTCCATGTTTTCACTTGTTCAGTGTCAACTTCAGTAAGGACATATATCCAAGATTATACAATAAACAAAGTGCAGGTTAAGGTTCTATCACTTGCAGCCAACAGTGAGGTTCTGGACCAACATTGTTGTGCTCGTTTTGATTCACAACTCTGCTCCTCTGATTGGTAGGTCCGCAACACTCGATATGAACATAATAAACATGAACGTCTCTGGTACGTGGCTTTCGCGGCCGAACAACTGTACTATGGCTATGGTATGCTATGGTACTGTGATGTACTGTGTATTGTGTACCAAGCCTGTCATGTGGACTAACATAAAGCAAAGAAGGTGACAAGAGCAAAGGAGAACCACTTCTGTCGCCCGGCTTTAATAGCGGCCGAGCAGCCAAGTTCTGGCGCCAATCGACTGTTGTCCTTTCCTTTGTAGGCTTTGCCTCTTGGCGCCTGACCACTGTCGCCTCAGCGACCAAATTGGATTTTGGCTTCTCAGGGAGCATTGAGTCATTGAGCATTGAACACGTTTTGTGAAATATTGAAGTTTATTGCTGGAGATACACGGCCTCAAACGATGAAACTGGGACATGGACCTCTTTAAGACCATTTTCCTCTACAAAGGAGTCCTGCTCAGTTTCCATGATTGGGTACTGTTAGCCGTTAGCTTTGAGAAAAAGCTGAGGCTTTTGGTCGTGTTTAGCCTTGTTCCAGTTTCAGGACCCCTCCTGCTGCACAAAGCTCGACGGTCTCAACCACCATTTGCCCAGGCGTCGGTGACCCAAGAGAGCCTGAAGCACGAACCAGTATTTATATACTGTATATATCCAAATGTTCGAGTTGTTTGAGTGTACAATTGATAAGCCAAACTTGCCATCATGGCTTGGCCGCTGTGCATCACCAAGTTGACTACAGTATTTTCATAGATGCGTCTCTGGGTGTGGAGGAATTTGCTCTACTAAAAGTTGAAGGTGTTGCAAGAATTTGCGGCATGTTCTAACAGGGTCTTGGTGTGTGGGAGGGTCTTGAAGCGCAAGTCCGGTCTCATTTCCCCAGCTCCACCTGGAACTCGGCATCAGTGTAGTCCGCAAAAATGTTTACGGCTGCTGCCCAAGTGATACCTCATTGGGTAGGAGGTCAGTTCGAACTCTATGAACGCAAGGGAAAGCAACAGCTGAAATCATTACAGGAAGATTCTAAAAAGGAGGTTGAAAGGGGAGAGAGGGAGAGAGAGAGAGAGGGAGAGAGAAAATGAATGACCAAATGGTGAAAATGAAGCATCCAATTGAACAACAAATTGATCTCTTCGCTGGTAGAAAGTTCAAACCGAACAAACATGTTGAATCATGTGGGCTGCCATTAGACAATTTAATTCGCAAACTTGTAGAGCTCGGCCCGCGCACAGCTTGGTCCATTTTCTTCCACAAACTCTCACGCCACTTCACTATCGCTTCATATCCTAGAAGGTCCCATCAACGGCATTACAGCCTTGGTATCTTCTCCCAACGTCTGGCTACGTCGATTGGCTTCCACAGCCTCTCTGCTCCTCTCATATGGCCGCCGTAATCCGTCTTTGCAAAGCGTGCACCCAAAGCCAGGCTGTGAGACTTGCTGCAGTGTGATCTTGCCATCTTTGGGCAAGGGCTCATCTGGAAATAAGCCTCCAAAGTATGGCTGGATGGATGCAGCGTCAGGGGACAAATTGATGAATTCTCCCAGTGGAGCATTTGGGAATGCAAATTGGAGATGGTACGAGTAGATTGACGACCCATGGGGCACTACTAGCACATCACTAGCTGAAGCCATGGCCATAATACGTCGTGCTTCTGTGATGCCGCCCAGCCATGTGATGTCTGGCTGAAGGATGTGGGCCGCTTTCTTATCAAGGAGCTGCTTAAAACCCCACCTAGTATACTCGTGCTCTCCAGTGGTGAGCATCAATCCCAAATTGCCAACAGCTTTCATCACCTCTTCATATCCATCATAGGAATCTGGTGGCAAATACTCTTCCATCCAAGTAAAATGCAGGTCAGGTTCAACGAGGCGTCGCGCTAAAGTAATGCTGTAGGGCACTGACAAGGCCATGTAGCAATCCAACATCAAAGGAAAATCTTCTCCAACTTTCTCTCGGCACTGCTTCAAATACTCAATATTTTTCTTGAAACCTTCTGCACCGTCAGCAGGACCATATGGGCATGGCACTTTGCAAGCAACAAATCCTTGGGCCTGGCCAACCTCTGGCCTTGCGGTCGTTGTATACATTGGGAGGAAGGGCTTAGTGGCACCTCCCAACAGCATGTAGACTGGCTCCCGTCGCAGCTTTCCAAGCAAATCCCATAGTGCCAAATCGACTGCACTAATTGCTTGGATTGGAAGACCTTTGCGACCATAGTTTATGCAACCCCGGAACATCTGATCCCACATCAGTTCGATATTCCGTGGATCCTGGCCCTCACAAAAGCGACTCAAGTGATGCTCGACAATATAGCATCCGGGTTCCCCGCCAATGGTCACACCCACCCCACAGGTACCATCTTCCGCTTCAACCTCGACCACCATACTGCCCATCGCGTTGATGCCCCAAGACTTTCGAAACCGCTTGTAGGGCGGATGAACTGACATGGGATTGGCAATGGGCAGCAACTCATCGCCACAGGGTAAGTTTCCATTGATCCAATGTCTGTCGGCAACGTCATGACAATCTGCACCCTGGACGTGTTGCTTTTGGTCTGGCGTTGATGCAACGTAGGCCCGAACCTCCAAAATCCGAGGGAAGGCCCGCGGCTCGGAAGCCGACATCAATCAGTCTCAGCTGAAAATACGGGCTCTGTGGTGTTGTGAGGGTGTGATGAACATGGACTTCTGGATGTTTCATGATATTTCATGACATTCATCGGTTTCTGCCGTGAGGTCTACACCCAGTGTCAGCTTTCATTTGTTTCTGGGACTTAGGGCTTCCCCTTTTGAGATCATGATTCATGAGGACTTTGGTCATGAGTCATCTAGGTCCTTTCAGCCCCATGATGTCTGTTTGTTCAGGAAAGGGTTGAGCCCAGGCACAGCACTGATGAGCAGCAGTCAGCTGAAGCAAATAAGAAAGGAAAGGCCAAACTTGAGGAATGAAGGGCCCCCCTCATGTACACAGTTAGTTTAATCTACACTGTATTGCCAAATGCCCTGGGTGCCAAGGGATTAGTGACTAGCTTGGTTGAACTTGTACCAAGTTGCCACTTTTGGAGTTGTGCTCTTCGACAAAGGCTTTTCGCTTCTGGTAGAGTTGGAAGCGTTCCTTGTAGCTCAAGGAGTCCTGATCCATGATCCAACACATAAAATACCTCTGCCTCTGTCTGACTCATTGAAGCACCATGGAACACCTCACAAGTTAAGGCAAGCCACGATGACTAACACAATGCTGAGTGTTGTATGTTTCTTGTCAGTCCTTTGCCTGATCTTTACGATGCTTCTGCCAGAAGACCTTGATTGTAGAGAGTCGTGAATTGATATGAGTCCTAAAAAAGCTTTGTGCTGACGCCTTGAGCTCTGAAACTTGCTTAGTCTCTTGCCACATTGCAAGAACCTTTTACTGGTCTTCAAGCATCACTAATACTGCCCCATCCTTAAGCTGCAACTTGCCTCATAGTCTTTGATGTCAGCATCTTCCTGCTGCAAGTGAAGCAAATGTAACAAACCAAGAGTTCCTGCACAAAACGGGAGCCTGTATTTGATTGATTTTGATGGCCATGTCTTCCAACATTATGTTTGCAATGCTGTTTGTCTTACAGTGAGCCTGCTCCACTCGTCCATCTGGAGTAACTGTGAAGTTTATGGCCAAAGCATGACGCGAGGCATGAAGGCAGAACGCGGCGATCACCGCGGAAAGGCCGGACATGTAGACGACACGATCCAGTGCCAGGCACTGGCTTGAGCCGAAGACGTACCACAGAACAACCGGAAGCAAAATAATTGTGTTGAAAAAAAACTGCAGGCTACGAGGTTGCTCTATGGCCCATGGCTTTCTTGAACAAAACAAAAGAGGAAACAAAGGGCGAAGTGGGGCGCACAACAACTATCCATCAAAAGCAGCAGTTTAAAGAGGAACTTACAAAACACCAAATTCTGCGATGGACTGGTCACTAAATGTCGTTAATGAGTCCAACAAATGAGTTGATAGTGAAGTCAGCGGGCCTCTTTCCGTTGCAGCAACCGGAAAAAGTTGCGAGGAGAGACAGGAACCTCAACATCTCACTGACCACTGACCAAAAACACTCCCTCCCTCCCTCTCCCTTCCTCTCCCTCCCTCCCTCCCTTCCTCCCTCCCTTCCTCTCTCTCTCTCTCTCTCTTGCTTTGCTCTGTTTTGTGTCTCTTGCCCTTCTCTCTTCCTTTCGAAACTGTTTCAGCGATGCGCTCGACATAGTCTCTGTTCAGGATGGCTTTTGGCTCTCACTCTGGCTGAGGCAAGTGCTGCACCCCATTTGGAAAAAGCGCCGCCGACACCAAAATTCTCTCCAATTCCAAGCTCAGATTGCGCGGCCTGAGTCATACGACACCACCTGCCCTGAACAAAGGACAGAACAAACCCTAACTAATTCATTCTGATCCTGTTTGATAAAATTACTTTACTTCGAGTGATCCCCACCATGACATTTCAATCATTTGTCTTGATGCCATAGTGAGGAGCATGTTGCCATAGTCGTTAGATGTCGTTAGTATTGTAGTTCTCGATGTTGCTTGTGGGTCCTCGGGTTGTGTGCTGTGGTTGTGTGCTGTGTTGTGGTTGTGGTTGTGTGTTTGTGGTTGTGTGTTTGTGGTTGTGTGTTTGTGGTTGTGGGAGTGGTTGTGATTGTGTGTTTGTAGTTGTGGTTGCGGTTGTGTCTTTGTGATTGTGTGTTTCTAGTTGTGGTTGTGGTTGTGTCTTTGTGATTGTGTGTTTGTAGTTGTGTTTGTGGATGTGTTTGTGGTTGTGTTTGTGGTAGTGGTAGTGGTTGTGATTATGTGTTTGTAGTTGTGGTTGTGGTTGTGTCTTTGTGAT